GGGGCCGACTCCGCAGCGGCTGCTCGGGGCGCAGCGGCTCGCGTCCTCCCAGTTCGAGGCGGACTCCGGACTCCGGTGAGAAACCCGCGGCCGGCCCGGCTCCCCGCCTCGGCCGCCCGCGGGGACCCCGCCCAGGGCACAGCGGCTGCGGGCAGGCCGGCCCCGCCGGCCCGCGTACCTCAATGGGGTCCACGTCGTGCGCGATCACGACCAGCTGGGCCTTCTTGTTCTCCACCAGCGTGGTGACCGTGTTCACCCCTAGGACACAGCCGCCGTGAGCAGGCCGCGGGGACCGCCCGCGGCCCACACGCAGCCTGCCCGGGGCGCGGCGGCGGCGGCTCAGCGTTAAAAAGCTCGGTTTCGCTCTCCACGGCGACTGCAGCTGAAACGCTCACATCACGGCCGGCAGCCGCGCCCGCGCGCCCGCCCTGCGGAGGGGCCACTCACCGGCTCGCAGCACGGGCGGCCTCTTGGTGGGGACGTCGCCTTTGCCGGCCGCTTTCTTCTCGGCCCGGGCCAGCAGCCGCTGCTTCTTCTCCTGCTTCGTCTCGGGCCGGTACTTGTGCGCCAGCTTGAGCAGCTGCGTGGCTGCGGGCCGCGGGCCGGTCAGGTCCGGTCCGGTCCGGTCCGCGCGCGCTCGCGGGCCGCCCCCGCCCCCGCCCGCGCCCGCGCCTCACCCGTCTGGCGGTCCAGGGCCTGCGTGAACTGGTTGATGGCCGGCGGCACCTTGAGCCGCTTGTAGAGGATCGCGCGCTGCCGCTGCAGCCGGATGTAGCGCGGCCACTTGACGAAGCGCGTCAGGTCCCGCTTGGGCTGGATGTCCTGACCTGCGGGGCGGCGGCGGGCGGTGGGCGGGCGGCCGGGGCGGGGGCGGGCGCCGCGCCGGGGCATCAGCGATCTTGGTGGCTGCGCGTCGTCACGCGGCTCCGATGGCAAATTCCCGCTCACATCATCTGCGCCCGGCGCCGCGCCCCGCCCGCCCGCCGCCCGCGCCCGCCCGCCGCGCGCACCCACCGATGCCGAAGTTCTTGGGCCGCTTCTCGAACAGCGGGTTCACCACCTTCTTGGCCTCCTGCTTCTTCACGACGGCGGGGGCCGGGGCCACCTTCTTCCCCTTCGCCTTCTTCCCCTTCGGCTGCGCAAGACGCAACGCGCTGGGGCCGCGTCCGCGCGTCGCCGCCCGCCTCGGCGACCCCGCGGCTCGGGAACCGACGGCCCTCCGCACCCCTGCCCCGCGCGAGCCCCGCGCGAGCCCCGCGGCCACGTCCGTCCGCGACACCGCCCGCGGGCCGAGCCGGAGCCCGCCCGGTCCCCGGGCTGCGCAGCCCTAAGAGCGCGGCGGACGCGGAACCCACAGCCGAGGCCCCCAGGGTGCGGCGCGCCCCGCATTGCGGCGCTGCACTCCCCGCCCGGGCACTCCTGCCCGCACTCCCGGCAGCCGCCAGGAGGACACCCGGCCTGGGGCGTCCCTGCCGGGCCCCGCGGGGCTCCGCTAGCGCGGGACGGCGAGGAAAGCCCCGCGCAGCCCCGCGCTGAAGAGGATGGCCGCGGATAGAAGCCGGACCCAGGCCGACAGAGCCCACCGCGAAGCCACTCACCATCTTGTGTTCCTCAGGAAGAGAGAGAAAGAACGGAGAATTGTGGGTAATATGTAGGCGACCTCGGAGATCGCGAGAACTGGCGCCTGCGCGGGATTTCGAACTTAAAGAGACAGGACTGCCCTCGCCAGCCTCCGGTCGGGGGCGGTGCCTCAGCGCGGCCGCTTGGCGGCCCGGAACCCGTGGCGGGGAGCTAGGCCTTCCGTGGGGGCAGCGCGCTCGTCTGCACCCCGCCGCAGCTGCACCCAGCCGGGTCGCCCCGGGCTCTGCGGACCAGGTGCGGGCGTCGGGGCGGGGTCGCCGTCTCTTCTCAGGTGTGACCCCCGTCCAGCGCCCCCGCTAGGGAGAGGCTCCCGGGCTCCGAGTTCGGTCGGTCGGCGGCGTGCAGGCCCCAGGCCGGTCTGTCCGGGGCGCGGGGCAGTGGGGAGGGTGGTCCCGGCCTGGAGCAGGGGGTGCGGCGGGGGCGGAACCCGAGGGAGGCCTCGGCGGGGGGGGCGGGGGCCGGGGGACAGGCGCTCGCAGGCCTCCGGCGGACGCGCAGGGCGGGCCGCGGCGCTGACCGGTCGGGCCCGGGAGCCCACGGTTGCACGGGTGTGTCCCACGGCAGGCCGCGCTGAGGTCGCGGTTCTGCGGAGCCGGGGGCGGCTTCGCTCACGCCGGACCGTGGCTCCCAGGTGTCGCCGCCGCGCCGCGCCGCCGGAGGCTCCGCCATGGCCCAGCAGAGAGCCCTGCCGCAGAGCAAGGAGACGCTGCTGCAGTCTTACAACAAGCGGCTCAAGGACGACGTCAAGTCCATCATGGACAACTTCACCGAGATCATCAAGACCGCCAAGGTGGGGGCGCGCAGGCCGGCTCCTGACGCTCTGAGACCAGGGGGAGGGGGCGGCTTAGGGTGTGGCCTGCGGTGAGCTCGGTGGCCGCCCGCTGCGGTCAGGGGTCACAGGGTGGGGGGTCTGCTCTCAGGGCGCAGGTGCTCCGTGCCTGGTGGTGACCCCGGGCAGAGAACGCACAGGCCAGGCCTTTGTCTGCTCGGGGAAAATATTGGGGAGGGCAGCAGGGGAGCGGGGAGTAGCCAACAGGGCAACGGATAAATATGCAGGCCAGCTGGTTAGGGACCCTGCTGAGATGGCCAGGCTGCCCTGTGCAGCGCCACGTAACCGCGCACGGGTCTGGAGGGAAACCGCACTTCTCCGTGCCTCTGATTCCCCTGCATTCTAAGGCCCCCCTGGTGAATGGGTGACTGTGTAAAGCGATTGATCGATTGATCTCCATGGGGCCTGACGCCGGCTCAGATGCGGTTGCTGTCCTGCCGAGTGCAGTCGGAGAAAAGCTGGGGAAAGTCCCTCGGGTTGGTGAGAACAGGGTGTCAGGATCGGGTCTGCCAAGCCTGGCGGGCTGCCTTGCAGTAAGTGGAGGTGGATCTTGCGGCTGCTGTAGACCCCGGGGGGATGGTTAGAGCCGTGAAGAAGCAAGCTAGCCTATACGTGGCGTGCGTTCACTGTGTCATGCCTGTGTCACGCCGAGTCGTGAGAGCTACCGTGTCCCATCACATTTATCCTTCACAAGAGCTCTGTGGGGCAGGTACTGCTGTCCTCTGCGTTTCTAGAGGCAGAGATGAGGCTCGGAAGGCTTAGTAACTTGCCAAGGTCATTCTGTTCACAGCCGTCAGAGCCAGGATTTGAACCCAGGAACCAGCTCCTCACTTTAGGGTGCCCTGTCCCCAGCCTGGGCTTGGTAAGGAAGCCCCGTCCACATGGATGGGCGGGAGTGAGTAGCCTGCACTCGGGCCAGGCCAGGCAGCAGCACCCCAGGCTCCTCCGTTTACTGTTGGAGACACCTGGGGTGCGCACTCCGAGCGGTCCCTGCTTCAGCTTTGCCCACCTGCAGACCCAGGATGGCGCTCCACAAGATGACTGTGGTTAAGCCCTTAGCGTGGGGTCTGGCAGTCTGGAAAGTGCTCAGGAAACAGTGGCTCAGAAGACATGCATCGTGTTTTTATGCATTCAGCAGCTCGGTTTACTGCGCGTCTGAGCTCCTGACCCCATTTGGACCTACGAGGGCTCCACACCCACAAGAAGACGTGACCTAGACTTCCTTCCCTGCAGGTGGCACAGAGTCAGGGTCCACAGGCATCCATTTTCCCAACGGAAGTGCCCGTGAGCACAGAACAGGAAGGCGTGAGGCCAGCCCAGATCTGGCCAGCAGGGCCTGGTGGAGAAGGCAGAGCGATGGCAGGCAGGAGGCAGCAGGTGTGGGTGTCCTGCAGTGGGCCAGTGCCCCTGGGCTGGGGAACCTGCCAATTTAGGGCTTTTTTTGTCTGCCCTCCAGATCGAGGACGAGACACAGGTGTCGAGGGCCACTCAGGGTGAGCAGGACAATTACGAGATGCACGTTCGCGCTGCCAACATCGTGAGTCACTGGGTGGAAAGGGCAGGGCCCAGACCGCAGGAGTCTGTGGTCCCACCTTTGGGGGGTGGTGGGCAAACCACTTCTCGGGAGACTCCCCTCAAGAGGAGGGCCGGCTGGCAGCTGTGCGAGGGGCAGCAGGTAGCCAGCCACGTGTGTCCCGGAGAGCGCCGTGCCGTGGCCAGAGAGCGGCAGACGTCCCTTGCCCACGGCAAAGCTCCTGGAGACTCATCACGAAAGCAAAAGCAAGTTGCCCAACAGACCAAGATGTGCGTTTTAATCCCTCCTCGCGTCATGGGACAAACACGGGCCAAACGTTTCCATGGCTGTGTGCCCTCGGGTGCGAGTCATAGGAAATGCCCAACTGGCCTGCTCGCTCCCCCGAGGAGGCGCACCGGCAGCCGCCCCACGGGACGGTAGTTTTAGCTGTGGAGCTTGTGGCTTTGAGAAGCATAACCCGTGTAAAGGGAGGTCGGCACCCCTACAGCGGCAGCAAGTGATTGGAGGGGGGCTGGGCAGCTGGGGGCCCCTGCCTTCGAAGCACGTCTTGCAGTCAGGGTGGGAGCCCTGGACCCTGTCCTTTGCATTGCTCGCTCCCGCCACGCCCCTGGGAAGGTCAGTGCCGTAGTCCCACTCGACAGATGAGGAAATGGCAGCCACGCCCAGCACCAGGCGCCGAGGGGCAAGGCCGCTGTGCCTCCCTCACCACCTTGCACGGGTTCTGATTGCCGCAGGTCCGAGCCGGTGAGTCCCTGATGAAGCTGGTGTCTGACCTCAAGCAGTTCCTCATCCTCAACGACTTCCCGTCCGTGAACGAGGCCATCGACCAGCGCAACCAGCAGCTGCGAGCCCTGCAGGAGGAGTGCGACCGGAAGCTCATCGCCCTGCGGGATGAGGTCTCCATCGACCTGTACGAGCTGGAGGAGGAGTATTACTCGTCCAGGTACCGATAGGGCTGGACCCTGCGCGGAGCACAGCTGGGGGCCGCGGCCCGGCCTGCAGCCCTGAAGGCCCCGTGTTTGCAAACCCTTCCTGCTCTTGGCACAGACGCGAGCCCGGGTCTTAGCGCAGAGCACACGTCAGAGTGAGTGACGGACAGACAACTGACGCCGCCTGCCAGGCCCCCAGCCCTGCCAGGCCCCCAGCGGCGGGATGAAAATCACAGGACTTCAGGGGTGGGCCAAGCCCCAGAGGGGAGGGAGGGCAGAGCCAGCGTTCCTGCTGGGGCTGCCTGCTGCCTCCCTCTGGGCCTGCGCACCTCTCTTAGCTGTTCAAACATTCCCACCAGGCCCGGGCTAGCTTCCCTGGCAGCCCAGGCTCATGCCCAGAATGGGCAGGATGCCAGTGCTTGCCTAGGGATTTCGTTCCATGTGGGCATCCCAGACCTTCAGCATGTGTGTCAGGGTCCGTGGTGGTGGGGGGTTGGGAAGGAGGAAGAAACCCGAGCAGAGGATGGCCTCGAAAGCTGGGCCTGGGGTACGCAGACCACCGAGTTCCTGTTCAGCTCAGCCTGGGTCACAGACCAGAGCCTGTTTACACGTTAGGCCCATGCTGGGCCCCAGGGATAGGGCAGTGGGCAAGACCCGTCACCCCAGCCCTCGTGCACCACTTGGAATCCTGAGACCCGAGGCACCTGAGTGCGACAGGTCCGGAGGAATGAGAGTCCGGGTGTAATATACACAAGGGAAACTGAGGCTGGAGACGGGAGGCCTTGCACGTCTGTCCCCACCAGCCCAGAAAGTGAAGTCTCAGTTCAGACGGAGCAGTGTCCCCCATGCCCTTGCCCAGACAAGCACGTCCTTCCTGTGGTGGCTCTCAGATGCTCCTTTTTGCCCCGCGGAGGCCATGCTGGGGCCACAGACGTCCAGAGCCAGCGTGGTCTGTGGTCTCGGCTCGGTTTCCCTGCCCTGCACTCAGTGCTGGCCCTCACTGTCCCTGGCCCTCTTGGCCTCTGTGGGAAGGACAGTGCCACTGTCCAGCTGGAGCAGTTCTAGATTTTTCCAGAGGGTTCTGAGGCCACCTCTGGTCCCTGATACCCACCGGCCCAGCAAACATGTGAGCACCTCGTACGCACCAGGCCTTCAGAGAAGGGTCCCGAGTGGGTCCCTGGGGTGGGGGTGCCATCTGTGTCTCAGACCATGCTGGGGAGCGTGGCTCACAGCCCCGTGGATTTTGCAGAGTCCCTTCACGTCCCTGTGTTTGTTTCCTGTCGCCCCCAAGGGCCGGGCTTGGGGGCTGGGTGGTTCCAGGACAAGCATTTATTCCTGCCTCTTGTTGAAGGCCGGGTTGGGGTGGTGGGGAGGGACATGCCCAAAGTCACTTTGACAAGACTAGAGAACCCAGGGCCCCGAGTGCCAGCCTTCCCACATCCTGCCCTGCCAGTGTCTGGTTCACCTAGGGGGGGTTCCTTGCTGCCCTCAGGGCCTTGGGAGGCTTACTGTGTAAGGCCAGGACTTAGTCACGGCCGCCAGGCTGTGTGCCCTCCCCGGAAGCCCCTAACACAGGCTGCCGTGCCCTGCATGCCCGTGTCCGCGCTCACCTGCTCTCTGCTCATGACTCGCTCTTTCTCTGCCTCTCGCCCTCTGTTCTCCTTGGGACACCACTCTGCACCCAAACCGCCGAAGGCAGGAGCAAGGGAGGGAGTGAGGTTGGGGTCAGATAGGTGTGGGACCTCAGGGCTCTAGTTATCCCTGGACAGCTCTGGTGAGCCACGCCCCTCCCCTGCATCCCCACCCAGGTCTTGCCATGCACAGCCAGGCCAGCACTGCTGACCCCGTCAGAGGCAGGGAGACCAAGTTCCGAGGCCTGCAGGCCTCTCGTCCTGCTGGTACGGTGGTGCAGCACGGAACACCAGGGCCCCTGGATCTGCCCCTCATTCAGGCAGAGGTCCTGCTGGGCAGAGAACCTAGGAACAAGACAGGGTCTGCTGTTGGGGTCCTCGCAGAGTGTAGTGACTGAAGAGACCATAGCAAGCTCCGGACGCTCGTTTCTGGGGCATCTGGAGCCAGGATGGGAGGCGGTGGGACGGGCTGGCTCAAGCTTGTGGCTAGTCAGCTGTGAAACACACTTGGTCGGTCAGCGGGAGGGTCACACAGCCTGTTGGAGGCTGGTCCTGGAGCCCCGCACCCGGTAGGATGCAGTACTGGACCCAGAAGCAGGGGCGGCCCCACGTGCCCCTGGTAGCCAGGCGTGCCTGGAGAGGGGCTAGCACAGAGAAGAGGAGGGAAAGGCAGGTCTGGCGTGTGGTCTGTGTTTTCTTAACTTTGCTTCTGTCTTGCTTCCCTGCCCCTGCCCCCCGCCCCGGCTTCCGCCCGTCTCTGCCCGCTGCTGTCTCTCCCTGGGTTTCTGGTGGTGGAAAAGCTCGAGTCCTGGCGAAGCTAGCGGCCGGCCTCTGTGCGAAGCGTACTGGGGGCTGGACCTCGACACAGACTCTGCCGATGGCCGCTCGGCCCCCATGCTGGCGTCCCCGGAGCCCAGCGCTGGCCCCCTGCAGGGTGCGGCCCCTGCCCACTCCCATGCCAGCGGCCCTGGCCCCACGGAGCACGCCTGAGCCTCCCAGTGCTCCCCTCCCTGCACCCCTAGGTTCTGAGGAGGTCTGGTGTCCCCTCCAGGCCCACCACAACTTTGCTTCTTTTAGCCTTGCTTCCCATTGGGCAGCTACGGTGGGCTCCTTGGGAGCTTTGGCCCAGGGCCTGCCACCCCCCCCCCCCCCTGCCAGGAGCGTTCGGGGGAGCGGGTAGTTCCCCCAGCCGTTTCCAAGGTGGCCCACCTCCTGAGTGGTCACCTCTGTTCATGACCCTCCTGGCCTGCTGGGCAGAAGGTTCCTGGACAGTCCTGTTGGCCCCAGGAGTGGGCCAGGAGGATGTGCTGCTACTTAAAAGCTGTAGGGTGGTGCTCAGAGTGGACCATACTGCCCAAGTCCAGACTCTCCCTCCCAGGGCAGGCCTCCTGTGCAGAGCCGCACCCACTGCCTTGTCCTCAGGGTCCCTGCACTAGCTGACTGTCCCCAAGGGCTGTGGCGGCAGGAAGAGAGATCTGCCTGCCCGCTTTTGTGGAAGCCAGGACTGGGACCTTCCTAATTTCTGCCACATGTGTTTTGATAGTTTCGTAATAACAGTTGAATAAAAACAGCTCTTCCCGTTTGCATCGGTTGGTGCTCTCTTGTGAGTCCTGGCCCACCCAGGGGCCACCCTTAGCTTCCCACTGGCTGCTGGGAGAGCAGCTCTGGGCTCTGACTGCACAGCCTTGGGCTTGGGCAGGGATATGGTCAGTGTGGGACCGTCACCGCATTGCCATTGCCTAGAACTGCCAGAGACCCAGAAGGTCCTTAATATTTGGTGATTGAAAAGCCGCTGCCATTCCTGCACGTTAAAAAGTCCAGGTGCCTGTGTCTCTGGGCCCTGCTGTCCTCATCGCACCCGGAGTCAGTGCTGTGGTGCCCTGCGCTACTGGGCGGAGCAGGGGAGTTCAGAAGGGGCTGGAGCGTTGTGTCTGCAGTCATGGAGCTGGGAATGAAGCGGCAGAAACCAGGACTCAACCCACAGGTTGCTGGGCCTAGTGCCTCACGCAAGGCTCAATGTTGGGGAATCCCACCAGGACCGGGACCTCAACCCTGTGCCGTCACCAGCAGGCCTTATCTCCTCATGAAGGAGACATCAGCTGGTATGTGGGGAGGTGACAGCCCACAAGTGTCTCAAGGAAGGGGGGCACACACAAGCTGAATTATGCTGGGACCCGGAGCCACCTCCCCCCACCTGCCACAGCCAAGCAGAGGCACCGTGCAGGTTGGAGCATGGGCCCGGGGCCCAGACCTGGCTCTGGTCCTGGTTTTCTGGGGTGGCCTGGGGAAGTTGTTTTCCCATTGAGAAAGTAGGTAACGATCTCCTCCCAAAGCACCTTCCTTGCAGAAAGAACTTGTATTTAACACTGACGAAGGACAAAGGGATTACAGCCCGTGAAGCCCATGCCGGGAAAGGGCTGGAAGGAGTGGGCCAAACCTGATGCTGGGCTTTCGAGTCTTCCAATTTCCAAACACCTGAGCAGCGGGATCTCTGCGCCACCGTGTGACGCTCTCCTGGGCTCGGGCCACTGTTCCCGTTGGAAAATGAAGTGGTCTCCCCCCTCCTAAAGCGAGGCAGCTCTCCGCCGCCACCTCTTCCGCTCCAGCCCGCGGCCCTGGCAGCAGAACGCACGGGAGAAACGGGCTGTTTGCAGCTCCCCTGGAGCCTGCTTCCAGCAGGTTTTGTCTCCGTGACCTGGGCCAAGCTCCATGCGTTAGGGTCCGCAGTGGCCTCCACATCGCTAAAGTACTAGGTGGTCCTCAGTCACAGCAACTCTGTGTCCCACGAGTCTTACTCTGAGACCATTCAAAGCCCTGGTGAAGGCGTAAAGGTCGCGTAAAGAACACCCACACGGATGCTTTTCTGGACTCACCTGCACCTTCACTTGTGCTCTCGTTTAGAAACCCCAGGGAGGGCAGCTGCAGGCCTCATGACCCTGCCCCTCTGAACACGGGCCCTCTCCCCCTCTAAGAAAACCGACACTCTCCATGGCCCAAGGCCAGCATTGGGCCCAACCGACGGAATGATTGTTCATTCCACAATGTCATCTGGGATCGTGACACATTCTGACTTCCCCAGTTGTTCTCCAAATGTCTCTTTATACTCGTCTTTATTGTGCTTGCATTTGCTTACTGTTTCTTCTAGTCTTTTGAAATCCAGAACAGGATCAGGGTGGTGGCCTAGAGTGCATCAAGTACAGTTCTGGATATGCTATTTATTTATTGAAAAAAGATCTATCACGGCACCTGCGTGGCTCAGTTGGTTAAGCCTCTGCCTTTGGCTCAGATCATGATTCCAGGGTCCCGGGATCGAGCCCCGCATCGGGCTCCCTGCTCAGCAGAGAGCCTGTTTCTCTCTCTCTGCCTGCCACTCTCCTTACTTGTATTCTCTGTCAAATAAATAAATAAAATCTTAAAAAGTAAATAAATAAGATCTATCCATTTTACAGTGTGCACGAACGGGGTGTGGGGGGCAGAGAGACAAAGAGTTGGGGCCAGAAGGAAACAGACACCAACACCTGCCCAGCCTACTGACCCCCCCCCACCCCTGGGGTATACTTTTAAAAAAAATTTTTTTAAAGATTTTGTTTATTTGACAGAGAGAGACACAGTGAGAGAGGGAACACAAGCAGGGGGAGTGGGAGAGGGAGAAGCAGGCTTCCCACCAAGCAGGGAGCCCGATGCGGAGCTCGATCCCAGGACTCCAGGATCAAGCGGAAGGAAGCCACTTAACAACTGAGTCACCCAGGCGCCCCCCGGGGTATACTTTTTAAGGGAGAGCCAAAAGATTTGCTCAAGGCCTGGATGTGGGGAGTGAGGGGAAGCAGGGTGGCTTCAAGGCCTGACGCTTAGAGTGGCCAGAGTGGCCGAAACAGAGAGAAGGCAGTGGGGGAGGCAGGATTCTGTACATACCCATGGAGATGCGTCTGGAGTTCGGGGAAGTCATTAGTACCAAGTCAGGAGCCCTGAGGAGGGTCACTGTGCAGTAAGAGTTGACAGAAAAGGGAAGTGAGGCCCAGGGAGGAGGGAGCAGGTGGGTAGGAGGAAGGCTTGTCATCTGGGGTTCCCAAACTCCTGGGAGGACAGGATTTCAGGGAAGCAGTAGATCAGCTGGTTAGACCCTCTAGACAACCCTCACAGAAAAGGTAACTGAAAATTAAGGCCCATCAGTCTAGATTTGCACGCGGAACCCAACTTTCTTCTCCCCGCCCTGTGGCAACTCCGCTGCGTCCATCACTCCCTGTCCAGGGAAGACCTCAGGAGAGCGTCAAAGACCTCCTGGGAGATGGTGACGGAGAAGAGAGAAGCCCAGACTTACTGCGGGGACCAGAAGTCCCACTGAAAGAGCAGCCATCACCACCCCGCCCGCCCCCTATCCCTGTCCCTCAGCGCATCTGGCTTTGATGGTTAAAACTGACAGTGCCAGAAAGAAGGTGCAGGCGGCTCAGTGAGTGTGCCGTACACACATCAGACTGTGTCCACCGAAAATCCGTGCGGGAAGAGGACGAAGCCATCCTCTCCTCAAAACGGCACCCCATGACCGATGAGCGGCAAAACGTTAAATCTTTACTGCTTCAAACGTACTTATTAGGAGCCTTTTCAAACGGCTTTTGAGGTGGCGATTTATAAATCTAAGCCCCAGGTCCCGCTTCCCCTGCGGAACATCGCAAGGCCCCCTTCCCTGCTCACACCCAGGCAACCCTCAAAGGGCCCCCAGTTGTGTCACAGCCTGTCACTGCCATGAATTAAGGAACCAGGCGCAGGGGTCTCCAGCCTCAGGATGGTGAACGTTCCTCTCCCTCCCCTCCTGAGTTTTTACTTATTTACGTATTTTAGACCGAGACCGCGCGGCAGAGGGAGAGGGAGAAGCAGACTCCCCGCTGAGCAGGGAGCCCCACGTGGGGCAGGATCCCAGGACCCCGGGTCATGAGCGGAGCTGAAGGCAGCCGCTCGCCCGACTGAGCCCCCAGGCGACCCCCCCACCCCGTGAGTTCTTACGTCTCAGCTCTGTTCAGAGCGACATCCCGGTGGGTCTTCCCTGAGCGCCCCGGCATCCTCCCTCCCGGGCCTTTCTTCTGAGCACTCCCCGCCACCCGGCTCACGCTGTGCTCGTGCTGCGTTCTGCCCGGCGCCCCCGGGACGCAAACTCGCCGAGGACACCGCGCCCCGCACAGGGCGTCGGAGGGCCCGTCGTGTCCTAGCACCGTCAGTTTTAACCGTCAAAGCCAGACGCGCTGAGGGACGGGGATGTGGGGCGGGGGGTGGTGCTCTCGCCAGCTTCCGCTTGGGATTCGAGTCCCCAGAGGCCTGGACCACGGCCGGTCGGGCCTGTCGCCCCCCGGTGCCGAGCGCCTACAGTGTCCGCGGCGCGGTGCTGCCGCTGGGGTGCAGAGGCGGGAGCACCAGCGCCCTCCTCGTCCTCGCCCAGGGCCCACAATGCTTTGCGCCCCGCCCCGTGCCCCTCTTCCGGCGGGGCCAGGCCTGGCTAATCGAGCACCGCGCGCCGGCGGCTCGGCGCTCGGCCGGCGGCGCCTGCGCAACCCGCGGTTTCCGGCGTGGGTGGCGCGGCGGGAGGCGCCCTGTGGGGAGTCGCGAGGTGTCTGGGAAGCGCGTGTGCCGCCCGAGGAGGGCCGCGGAGGGCGCGGCCATGGCTTCTCTGCGGGCCAAGGACGCCTACCTGCAGGGCCTGGCCAGGAAGATCTGCTGCCAGCCCAGCCCGGAGCCGCGGAAGCGCACGTCCGGTAACGCGCCGCCGGGGGTCGGGCCTGGGAGGGCTCGGGGCGGGGGGTGCCCCGCACGCTACCCCGTAGCCTTGCGTTGGGCTAGACGTGTAGGTGCGGGGACAAGCCCGTGAGGATCTGGGAAGGCAGACGAGGGTGTCTCAAGTTGCCGCTGTCTCCCCGCTTGTCGTGGGCGTCGGCCTGGGGGTTCCGGGGGACCGCGCTCCGTCTGCTCCCCGGCGGGCAGCTCCTGCGGGGCTTGGAGGAGGTGCCCGGTGAGTGGGCAGCGTAGGGAGATCAGGAGGGAACGGGGATGCCTCCGGGCGGCGTGGCGGGGAAGTCGCTCCTCAGGCAGGTGAAGCAGGCTGGCCGGCCGGGGGTGCTGCCCGGGCCGGGTGGAGGCGAGTGGCGGGGGCTGGCAGGGAGCTAGAGAAAAAACGACTTTGTCTTCATGCAAAGCAAGCGGTGTTCAGTACACAAGGTGAACAACTGAGTTCTGGCGCGCCGGGTGGCTCAGTCGGTTAAGCACCTGCCCCTGGCTCAGGTCATGATCTCAGGGTCCTGGGAGCCAGTCCCGCATCCGGCTCCCAGCCTAGCCGCGGGCCTGCTTCTCCTTCTGCATCTCCTCCCTTGCTCATGCGCGCTCACTCACTTCCTCAAGTAAATAAGTGAAATCCAAAAAGCAAAAAAAGAAAAAGGGTGGAAAAGGTAATTTTTTAAAATTGAGTTTTTCTTTTTAGCAGCTGGGTATAGTTTAGGTTTATGTTGCTTTAGGTGTTTTTTATGAGTGCAGTCTACGCATTAGGACACTCCCCTTTGTGTAGTCACTTTCTCTGTGTACGCGGGAACCTTACTTGATGTTAAAATGAGACCTGCGTCATCATTTTTGACGGCGGCGCAGCACGTCGTCACGCAGCCGCGCCTCAGCTCGCTCTCTTGGGTACACGGTATTTGGGTTTCCCCAGTTTCTCCCTCAGACAGCATCGTGATGGTGTTCTGAGGCCGTCTTTGTGCATGTCCAGATGGATTCTCACGAGCTGGGACAAGTGTGGACGTTTTTCAGGGATGGGCATGTGTGGCCGGTTTGCTTTCCAGGGTTTGTGGGTCTGAGCTCTGCAGATAAGGGTGGGTCCTCCTTCCTGATTCTCTGTCAGCCTTTTTTGGGATCAGAGGTTTTGCAAGACCTTTCCTGCTGGTTGAATGGGTCACGAAGGTTCAGACTGCAATGCTGTTTAACTTTGTGTTTCAGCCGGCAGAACTCGAGGCTCAGAAGCTGCTGGGCCCCCAAAAAAGAAGAGGAGGAAAGCACAGAAGAAATCACGGGAGCGGGAGAAGGCTGTGGAGCTGAAGACCCAGGCTCTGGGGGGAGACTGTCCAGCACCTTCCAGGGCCAGAAAGCCGGCAGTATGTGAGGAGGGAGAGGCCTTCCCCTCCACGCGGTCCCCAGCACATGGGGATGTGGAGCAGGGCCCGCTGGCACCAGGTGAAAATATGGTCCTCAATGACCCTAAGAAAACGTGGTGCTAGGCACACTGGAGTAGCTTGAGACTTTCTAGAGAGAGAGCTCTCAGGGGACAGACCCCAGGGGCTCCGTGGGTGCATGAGGTCCCCAGAAGTACGTAGTGGTTCCTGGCCATTTGGCAGCTGGGTCTGGTGAGGGGCAAGGTCACGTCCCACGAGGACCTGGAGCAGCTTGCCCTGCAGAGCCTCATTGCCTGCGGTGTGTGAAGGGGAGTCACAAGAGCCGACCTGTGAAGAGATGCAGGGAAGCCCAGGCTGCAGAGGTTGGAAGAAATGAGAGATGGGTTTGGCTTGACCTGTAGGAAGTGTTTGTCACACCACACAAGGGTGTTCTGTCCGGGAGGACGTCCTGGGGGCCAGTCCAGCCTGAGGAGGTGGAGTAGAGTTTCCTGGCCTGCCCTGCAGGTGGATGGGCTCTGGCGGTTTGGGGGTGCGGGGAGGGCGGGTTGTGGTGGGCAGCATGTGGAGACGCAGTCTTCGAAGCTGGGCCTTGGGAGAATGGACGGGATGGTCAGGGAGGGGTTTCTTCTCAGTTCTCTGCCTCTTTCCTTGCAGAAACCCTGGTCACAGAGCCCGACTCTCTGTTTGCCCTGGATGTCGTGCGGCAGCGGCTACATGAGAAAATCCGGGAGGCTCGGGGCCAGGTGAGCAGGGAGGCCGCTGGGGTGCAGGAAGCAGTGTTTACTGCGCTGGCTTCCTTGCTCTGCCCGGAGGAGAAGGCGCCTTGGTGCTCTTTGTGGGGTTGTCCCTCCCGCTCTGCCAGCCATTGTGGGGCTACGGGAGGGACCTCAGCTTGCTCTTCCCACCCCTGCAGTGGGTCCTGCGAGGGTCTTGGCACTTTGTTAGGCAAGAGATCAGCTGTGGTTTGCGTCATCTCAGGGAGCTTCTGTTCCAGGGCCCCCCGCCTTGTACGGTCTCTGCCGGGCTACAGATTCCTTGGGCTCTCCGGGGGAGGCCCAACCTCTTCTCTCAGGGAAGCTGCCTTTGCTGAGCCCCAGGCAGCGCTTCCATCCCCGCAGCGCCACGACAGCCCTGTGAGGTAGGCGAGGGCCGGAGCTGAGGTGGCCTCGACAGGGAGTGTCAGACCTGCACCAGCTTGGCCTCTCTCTGCTCGCATTGTTGTCTTCTCACTCAGCCTCCAGCTGCCCTTTCCTGGGGACATGCCCTGGACCTCTTGCTGTATGCGGATGGTCCCCCAGCTTCTTTGTGCATCTGTCCTGGGACGAGCCCAGGGATCCTTCTAAGGAGTGGTCCAAGCGCCAGGCCCGGCCCCACATGCAGGTCTGCATCAGGCTCGTGTAGGGTTCCCTTGTCGGCCTGCAGAGGAAAAGTTCCTTGGTGAGAGCACAGAGGTCAGATGTGCCACTAGCAGAATGGTGCCGCGGTCAGCACGGCACTGAGTCGTTCTGACCTGATGCCACGTTCGAGTTGGTGGGTTTGGCTAAGCCTGTCCTCGTCTATGAAATGCTGCAGGACGTGTTTCCTGTGGGACCGTGAGGAAGAGACAATAACCGTGTTTGGAAAGTGCCCTGGTATGATGTGCCTGGGGACGGGAACCCGTACTTCTTACTCAGGGGTCTTAGTGTCCTTTTGGGGGTCCCTCACGTTCTGAGTGATGGATAATTTCACAGGGGACACTGAAGTCAGTGGGACCTTGTCCTGTGCAGCCGTCTCCTCGCTTGCTTTCCTGCTCTGATTCCACGCCCGAGACCAGGGCCCCCCAGATTGGGAGGACCTTCCACATGAGTTTTGCTTTCCTCTTCCAGGGCCAAACCATGGAGCTGTCTCTTGCTGCTTTGGAGAAAAGACGGCGGAGAAAGCAGGAGCGGGACCGGAAAAAGAGGAAGCGAAAGGAGTTGAGAGCAAAGGAGAAGGCGGCGGAGGCGGCGGATCATCCCCGTGAGCTACCCCAAGAACCGCTGCGAGAGGACATGCCAGCGGGGCTGCTCTTCAATAAGGTGAGGGCCGGACGCAGCCATGGCACGGGGGCACCTAGGCTCTGCCCGTGCCTGGTTGTGTGGCTTCTGGCCTCAGCTGCCCGTCTGCAAAATGGGGTCGTACTGCAGAGCATGACCAGTCCCTGCCCACGGGGGTGCTTGTGAGCGGTCACAGGAAAGGTACTGTAAAGCTGTAACTCACTGGGATCGCAACCCTTCTTTCCGAGGTGGAGGTGACTGCGGAGCAAGCGGCCAGCAAGGCCCAGCGCCGGAAGGAGAAGAGGCAGAAGCTGAAGGGGAACCTGGCGCCGCTGACGGGCAGGAACTACCGGCAGCTGCTGGAGCGCCTACAGGCCAGGCAGGCTCGGCTGGAGGAGCTGCGGGGCCGGGACGAGGGGAAGGCGCGGGAGCTGGAGAGCAAGATGCAGTGGACCAACCTGCTGTACAAGGCGGAGGGCGAGCGCATCCGCGACGACGAGTGCCGGCTGCAGGAGGCCCTGAGACGCAAGGAGAAGCGGCGGGCACAGCGGCAGCGCAGGTGGGAGAAGCGCACGGCCCACGTGGTGGAGAAGATGCAGCAGCGGCAGGACAAGCGTCGGCGGAACCTGCGCAAGAAGAGGGCGGCCCGGGCCGAGCGGCGCCTGGACAAGGCCCGCAGGAAGGGCCGGGTCCTGCCCCAGGACCTGGAACGGGCCGGCCTGGCATGAGCCTGCGGCCCGAGGGCTGCCCCCCCAACAAGCTGGTTGGGAGGGCTCAGCGCCCCCGGGGGAAGGAAAGGGAGAGTTACCGAGAACGGAGGCCCAGATCCTTCGCAGCCTGGGAGGGGCTGACCGGTCCGGTTCCCGCCTTCTCTTGGGAGGCCACAAAGCTGCCCGCAAGTCTGGGGGGTGGGGAGGTGGGGAGGGCGCGAGGGTGGAGGGGCTCTTCCCTGGCTCCTCCTCCCCCTCCCGTGTTGACACGAGCCGGCAAAGTGTGGCCATTGGGACTGCCCGTGTCCGTCCAAAACCGCCCTGGAAGGGAGGAAGCTCAGAACCGCTCCAGCCCAAGTCCAGGGTGGCACCGGCCTCGCCGTGGGCAGAGGGTGGGACCGCCGTGGCTGTGACTGGGAGGGCGTCATCCTGAGTGTCTCTGCAAGAGCAGCGAAAGTTAGAGCTTAAGGCGAACACCCACACGGGAAACGTTAAGACTGTGATGCCCGCTGGGGGCCCCCTGGGTGGCTCCGTCGCTCAGGCGCGCCTGACTCTCGGGCTTGGCTCAGGTCCGGACCTCAGGGCTCTCGGATCGAGGCCCCCATCAGGCTCCCCCGTCGGCGTGGACTCTGCTTGAAATCCCTCGTGCTCTCCCTCAGCTCTTCCTGCTCGTGCTGTTTCTCTAAAAGAAATAAATGTTCTGTGGGGAGAGAACGATGGCGTCCGGAGGACGAGCGCGGCGCGCTGTGCCGGGAGGAGGGGGAGCCGGGGCGGGTGGAGGGTGTCGGTGCAGGAGAAGGCAGCAGACAGGGCCGGCTGGGAGCTCGGACTCGGGCGATGCGCGCCCCCCACAGAGGCGGAGGGATTCCACACAGCCCTGCAGGGAAGCAGAACCACTGCAGACACACGAGACGCGGCTCGTGGCTCATGAGTCATTCCGCAGCGAAGCCGTTGGTAACTGCTGAGCTCCGCTTACATCGACGGTAAGGAACGGCTGGCGTGGCCATCCTGGCCAGAGCGGACTTGAGGTCCACGGCACCACAGAGGCTAAGGTAGGTCACGGCAGGATGGAGGATGGAGGGGCTCTGACGCCTCCATCAGGGGCGCTGACGCCCCCAGTGACGGAGCTGCGAGTCCCCCAGGGGAGATCTGCCCACAAACAAAGGCAGAGGCTATCTGGTGCCTCTCTCAGGCCGAGAAACACCAGGCAGAACTCCAGTGGATCGGGAAGATCTAGATGTGGGCTGGGAGCTTGATCTAAGGACCCAGAGCTCGGTGTCTGGACACAAGCGGCCGGCTCGCCACCCACATCTGGGGCAGCAACGAGAACTGACCGCCCGGTCCACGAAGCAAGCTCTCTGTCTCAAGGAATCGGCGTCCTCCCAGGCATGTTGTCTGGCCACAGCAGGGTTTCCTTGTTGGAGTCAAGAGGTGATTGCCGAAGTGCCACGTTTAGATGTTTGAAAACGTACTTCTGAGTTACCTGCGGGTCATAGAACCTCCCAAGTGTCAACCCCGTAAATACCCTGATTGACCTTCTCGGCCTCCCCAGGCCTGGCCAGGCACGTCCCTCCCTGGCCCAGAGCTTCGGGGCTGCTGGTGTGCGGGCCAGGGCAGCCCGTGATGTGTCCCGGGCCGGGTGGCAACAGGGGCAGCTCCTTCGGGGACATTAGTGGATGATGGCACGTGGACAATTGAGAAGAAAGGGTCAGACAATCACAGGGGGTTCTCGGAGGCCTGAGAGACGATGCCGGGTGTTATATGCCGCAGGGGTGACACACCTGAGTGTAGCATCGTGGGAGAAATCGTCCAAGGACCAAATGTCAGAAACATTTCCAGAACCAAATGGTGGTAGTCCCCAGTTTCAAAGGTAGCCCACTCTCCTGGGGCAGAGGGAAGTGGATGAAGATTGCCTATTCCGAACCCCTCCTGCACGGCCACTGGGTTCCAACAGTCCCAAACGTCGTGGTAGGATGACAAGTAGTAAGGGGAGAGCTCACTGAAATGGAGTCAGGAGGGGAGGAAGAGGAGCTCTTGGGCACTGGGCCGGCCAGAGTCTGTTCCAGGGAGAACCGTCATCACAAACCCCAGGAGATGTATCCTCAAGAGGGAATTATGACAACGGACCCAACAGGGAAGGAGGGACATTGCATCTCCGACGAGAACTCCACCAGCCCAGCGGCTCAGCCGGTGAGGACCCCCCCTCGCCCTGAAGTCCTGCTCCTGCCCAGGGTCTTCCGGTCAGGACAGCCCCTTCTAGCATCCTCATAAAAGAACTCTCCTTTCTTTGTTGGACTTCTTGGTGGTTTTGTTATAGCTTGCATGTCCCGAATTGTAGTTCTCTGCTATTCCCGAATAAAGCCATTCTGGGGGCGAAGTACTGGTGGTTTTTAGGTCAGCAGGAATCTCCCGTTGGCACTGGTTCTTTGGGTGAGACTGGGAAGAAGGAAGCCGGCCTTCCCTCCTGTTTGGGGCCCCAGGACTTGAACAATTGCATGTTCGGAACTTCAGAGAGGGGCTGTGACCAATCAGGTAACCCAAGTGAGGCTTCTGTTTGCCAGACCTGGGGATGGGGGACAGAGGAGCTCCAGACCTCGGTGGGTCGTCTCGTCCAGCTCACCGCACTAGTCTGGCAGGAAGTCATGGGAACCTTGCATTCGTGGCCTGTGGAAATAAGAGTTCGCTGCATGTTCTCTGCTGTTGGGTCGTGACACCTGCGTTGGCCCTGGGAGCTCAGTTATGGTCTCATAGCAGCGTTCCCGCTTCAGAGAGGAACCACCATGCTGCTTTTCCAAGGCGTCTGAGCTCTGCATGTGGCCAAGGCGCGTCTTCATGATCCTCCCCTGACCATCTGTCGGGGGGGTGAGCAGGGACATGACCAGGCTCCTCCGCATCTTCCTCTCCATGGGGGTTTCTGATGTTTCTGTTTTTCCAGGGGGGTCTGGGAGCTTCACGAACCTTAGTGCAGACCTCAGTGGACTCCAGGCTTTGTGTGGGCAGCAGAGGTGAGCACTGAATCCGTCCTCGTCCCCTAGCTGGCGCGTCAGACCTTGGTCGCACACGCCAGCCAATCTGGGACTGCGTCCCTCCTTCTGGCCAAGCACTTCCAGGATCAGCTCCCACATGCTTCCCTGATTTTTTCCCCCAATATAAAGCAGCAAATGTTTCTGTTCACTTAGTGAGTTCGACCTTCCTATTTTGACCTTGTAATTGGGTCCTCGGGGCCTGCTGAGGTCCGACTCCGCGTGTAGGTCTAGAGATCGGAAGGCGAGATGGATGTAGCGATGAGGAAGCCGGCTCCTCGCGGTTTTGCAGGGAACCTGAAACTGGTCTGTTCAACTGGTAAAGTCATCAGTTAAGAAAACGGGGGGACTCCACGTGGGATCTGAAAGCTTTTGTCTGCAAGCACCACGTGTTCTCACATTTCACTGGCCCAAACCAGTCCCACGGCTGCACCCAACTCCCAGTGGGCACAGAGATGCAACCTACTCAGGGCCCGGAGGGAGGGCCAGGGTGCTTTGAAGAGGCTGATACCTCCTGAGCAGAGGCTGGCTTCCAGCGCTCTTGGCACACATTTCTACATCAGTCTCGGCTCTCAGCGGCAGGCTGTGGGTGACGAGTCTGTGGGTCTGAGCGGTAAGGGGATTAAGAGATTAGGGCACGTCCACCCTGAAGAAGTCAGCATGGAGCTGGTATTTCTTCTTTCCGAAGGCACCACGCCAGCTAGGAAAATAAAAACAGAAACAAGACGATCTTGTTGTAAGTAGGAGGCATTGGTGTCCCGACCCACACGGCAGCTGACGGCGCAGAAGCCAGCAGGAATCGAATGGGAGCAAAATGCAGTGAGGAGGGGATGTCTTTGGTCATAGCTCTTGGGAGGATCCGTAAGTCCCCGCTCCGAGAGGCAAATGCAAAGCCTGTGTCAGCTCCAGGAACGTGAGGGGCAGAATGGCAGCTGGAGCCCGTGTGGGAGTTTGGTCCTGGGAAGCGGAGTGTGGCATGGGGGCAGAGACTCAACCACCTGGCCGGAGCACCTCTGTGGGGGCCTGGGGTGACAGCGACATTGCCCTGACACTGTTCCTACAGCTTCCTGTTCTCTCCGACTCGGGGTGTAAAGGCTGAAACTACACACCCAGCCCTCGGTTATAAGGAAAGTCCTGTGGCTCTGAAAGAGAATCACGTTTCATCCTGCTTCCGTGACCTGTGCAGATACCTCTGTCGGGAAGAACCTTCCTCTGTCATGAGTTTCCACGTGGGAATTTGCATGAGATCTGTGTAGAAATACCACCCGGTGCAAAGGAGAGAGCCAGGGGCAGGTGCAGTTGAAGAACCCATCAAACGCTTTTTGCCAGTGAATTTTCTCAAATATTTCCTCAGGAATAAAAAAAAACAGAAGCAAAAGCCAATCACCTCTCTAAAGGAAGCCCAAAGTGGAAAAAAGACCTTGCAGGGGCAATAGCGAGTCAACAGAAGGGTTGAAAGATATCAGGCAAGGGGCGCCTGGCTGGCTCAGTCCGTGGAGCATGTGACTCGTGATCTCAGGGTTGTGAGTTCGAGCCCTACACTGGGTGTGGAAGTCACTTAAAAATAAAAAATTCTAAAATATGTCAGACAAGCTCAGAATGGGAGAAAAATAGGTCATCACAGAAGTAAAATTGAAGCAGTGTAAGATGGCTTCTTATGACAACAAGAAGCATTCTCAGCGACTGTCCACCAAAGAGCGGATCATGCAAAACGCAAGAGGAGATGGGCTGAATGGCCTTCAGGCTCTCCATGTCTGTTCATTCAGATCAGCTGGACACAGAGTAATCCCGACCCCTAAAGGTGTGACACCATGCAGTGTGACGTATACCGAGAGTGGGCGCTACACATTTTCAAATACAGGGTGGTCGTAATTAGTCCACAAATATTAACTCACTGTAAAGTAAATCTTAATACCCTAAACAAAAGAAGAGCGCCACAGGCAACGTTAACTTTCTTGAGTTGTTGCAAATAATAATAATAATAATAGTAAAATAAAAACTGCTACCCTCAAGTAA